TTTAGTGGTCCACAAACATCTGTATGGATCAAATCCAACAAACCTTTAGCTCGCTCCACTTGTCCAACAAATGGTGATTTAGTCATTTTACCTTTAAGACATGACTCACATGTAGGCAACCTATCCTCTCCCCTAAGGTCGAGTTTAGGTCCCAATTTGTGAATCCGTTTTTCGGATATATGACCTAATCTAGCATGCCAAATTGTGAATGAACTATGATTATCTAATTTCCTTTTATTTTGTTGAATGGTTAGGATGGGACTTTGTGGTGTAATGGTATACAACCCATTTGTCAAATTTCCAGAATAAATAAAAGTTGTGTCTTTGAAAATAGAACATTTTCCATTTTCAATGACAAACTTAAAACCTTCCTTATCCAATATTGGAATAGAAATAATGTTTTTTATTAAATCCGGAACATACAAACAGTTTGATAGACAAATCTTTACATCATTATTCAATGCTAGATAAACAGTCCCAATAGCTTTAGCAGCAACTCTTGCCCCATTGCCCATCCTTAGGATTGTTTCTTCACCATCTAGCATATTACTTCTTGCCATCATCTGCAAATCATTGCAAATATGTGAGCCACAGCCGGTATCCAATACCCAAGAAGAATCGTTAACAGACAAGTTAACTTCAACAAAATAAATACCTGAACTTTTCAGACTAGCAAGATACTCCTTGCAGTTCCTCTTCCAGTGCCCAGTTTTGCCACAATGAAAACATTCATGATCGGCCTGAGAATTAACCTTCTGTTTGTTCTTCCCTTTATCATTATATGCCTTCTTGTTGGGCTTATTGGGAACCTTTCCCTTCCTCTTCCTTTTCTTAGACTTAGTAGCCTTTGATCCGGAAGTGGATCCAACAAGAAGTACCGGCTTGTCCTTTTTAATGGTGGACTCAGCCGTCTTCAACATGTTTAATAATCCTGGAAGATCAGTTTCCATATTATGCATGTTGTAGTTAACGACAAAGTTATCGAATGACGCTGGCAGAGATTGCAACAATAAATCCACATAGAGTTCATTATCCATAATGACTCCAAGTGATTCGAGTCTTTCCACAAGAGCTATCATCTTCAGTCCATGATCATGAACTGAAGAGCCCTCGGTCATACGACACCTGAAAAGCTCTTTAGATATCTGATATCTAATTTGTCGCGTCCGATCACCATACAACTCTTGCAGGTGAGTTAGGATTTCAGAAGCATTATTCAGTAATTCGTTCTGTCTCTGTAGCTCATTAGACATTGATGCTAGCATGTAGCACCGAGCTTGGAGATTGTCATCAACATGACGCAAGTAGGCTCCATACTCTTCAGCAGTCTGATCCTCCGGTGGAGGAGGAGGAGCTGTTTCCAAAACATACTCTCGCTTCTCAGACTGAAGAACAATCTTTAGGTTCCTCAACCAATCATTGAAGTTGGGACCAGTTAATTTATTATGATCAAGGATACTCGCGATTGGATTCTTAGCCATTTTAGTAGTTTGATCTACAAAAATAACAAACGAAGCAGAAAATAATTAGACTATGGAATTTATATTCATTTAATATTAGGTCTTTAACATTAAATGTCTCCCACTAATTTAATTAGAACCTCATTATAATTATGAAAATCATTATTTTCATAGTGGGCTTGAAGTCCAATAAAAATATTTCATGTCCCAATTTTATGATGCCACCATGAAACAATTTTATCGGTAGTCAACTTTTTGACAATTGTATCTCTATACAACCTTCAAGATGTTTTGCCTCACCTTTCCTTATATACCTCAATTTTATGACTCCATATATATTACTCGGTGTCAAATCAAACCCATCAAAACTTTCATGATAACGGCCCACCAGAGTGTCCCACGACTCATGGCCAACACAAAGAGGAATCCGTCTCACGAATATCAATATATTTAATAGAGTTCACAGCTTTCGACATAGAATCATCCCACGACTCGTGGCCAATGATAAAACATCGTAGCATCTCATGTCATCTACTTTTGATGGAAGGCCTGGATTAATAAGTTCCAACTTATTTTTATCCATTATTGATTTGATATGGAATTAATCAAATTAATCCGTTTGGGTTCCTTGATCTCATCGATTACCATCTTTACGTTTATTTACCAGTTTCAGTCATCTAATGAAACGAAAGCGTAAATAAACCTAACATACATCTAATGCATGGTGGGATGATCATGTCCTTTCCTATTCGATCCATTCGAGCCAAAATGGATCTATGCATATGTACGTGATAAAACAAATAGTAGAACTACTTCTATTACATTTATTCTATCTACCCGTACAAGCACAGGCCTTCGAGATTACAACTTGTAAAATTACCCACACATGCGTGGGCCTTTGTCATCGAACGGTCTCCACCTTGATCTAATCTCTAACGATACAAAATTTAAAATTTTACAAATTTCATCTCAAGAGACTCGCAGGTCTCGATAAATTACATTTCTTCAATCATATTGAAAACATAATTAAACATCCATTCATTCATTCAATCATATTGAAAATGAAAACATCCATTCAAACATAATGAATATGAGGCTCATGATCATCCCTAAAACATTCATCTAATGAAATGAACATAAAATATCAATTTATGAGTCACACGACTCGTGTGAGGGTCACACGACCCGTGTGATCTTATCACACGACTCGTGTGAAAAATACGAATTGAAAATCAAAATTTTTCCCAGACTCACACGACTCGTGTGGCTCGTCACACGACTCGTGTGAGCTCACACGACTCGTGTGACAAGGTCACACGACTCGTGTGAAAATCACGAAGCTAAAATCAAAATTTTTCTTCATGCCACACGACTCGTGTGACAAGGTCACACGACTCGTGTGGCTTAAAAACGATTTTTAATTTTATAATTAATATTTTTATCATATAAAAAATTAATTATATTGCTTATCTCATAAGTCTTAACAAATCAAAATCTGTTTTAAAGACGATAACCGTGGCTCTGATACCACTGTTGGGTTCGATAGTACCGTACGGGCTGTACGCAGCGGAATTTAAAATTTTTAAAGTAAGTATTTATCGTATAAATACAACACCCGTACATACTAATTGCGAATTAACTGATCGTCATCTTTAAAACATGCATCATATACAAATTTTGATTTGTTACTATAAAGTAAATACTAGTAAAAATATTTACCGAATGTCTTGAACTCCTTCACTATTGATGATGGATGAGGGAATCGGTTCCCGGTTGTAACTTCAACGACTTGAGGTTACTCGCTAGAGGAATCCAAGTGTCTTCCCTCTAAACGTATCCACCCTATGAAGCCCGGTTCCGACGACTTTCCTTCGCTAGTAGAAAAGACTCGGTTTTCTTGTATAGGAATATTTATGAATTTTATTTGGGAATTTTAAGAACTCTTTCTTGAAGTTTTATGAAGAACACTTTCTTCTCTTTCTAACACTTAGAAATTTAGGATCAAAAACTTCACTTAAATGCAAAACCATTTTGCATATATTTATACTAAACATTTTAGCATAAAATAATCAACATTTAGTAATATTAAATAAAATCAAATTTTATTTAAATAGTATTTACTAACTTTTGACTTTGAAAATAATAAGATATGTTAAGTAGTTCAAACAACCATCAACAACCATTTTATTATAATCATATTTATTATTTTAATCCTTAAATCATATTTAAAGATATAAATAATAATTGGATAATAAATCTTGAGAATCTTTCTCAAGACTTTATTATTATATCATTTTCCCAATATTATAATAATCATATTATTATTATTTTGGATTTTTGAAATTTAAAATCCTATTTTAAAATTCAACTTTATTAATTTAGTAATTACCTTAATTACTAAAGTAATATCCAAAATGTAATTAATCAATCTTATTGATTAATATATTCCTTTAATTGATATCTAATCAAATTAGATATTTATCAATTAATTCTAACCATTAGAAATACAATCTTTACCTTTGTTCATAATTAGTGTGACCTTTTAGGTTCACCTTAATACTAGTAGTGGGTTTACAACACTTTGTAATTTGAGTTAAATCTTATTAACTCTTATTCATGAATTAACCCTTTAATTTATGAACCCACATATCATGGTAACACCTAGCAAGTAGCATGAATCTAGTATTAAGTGAATAGCGAGTAAACCTATTCCGATTACAACTCCATACATGTAAAATCCTTTCGACATCTAATTTCCCGATTAAGTCTTGGGTATGATTTTGTCGAAACCCAAATTGACTTAATAACTATGATTCTATTTCATGTTTATTAACCCGGTTATGAATCACTATTCATCTCTGCCTTGGCCAAGGACTTTGGATTAATAACTATGAAACACATAGGAAATTCACTTATCTTCATAAGTGTCGAATCCTTTATTGGCCACTAACAAACTTCCATACATATCAACATAATACCCAACTTATCCCTTTAAACGATAGTGCTAGCTACCAAAAGGATAAATCAAAGTAGAATGTAATATGCACAAAGTTACCATTGTGCCTCAAGTCTTAGGATTAGTCATGTACTATTGTAACATGAAAATTCTTATTCGACTGAATAAATTCTTCATTAAGAATTTTCATACGGTCATGTTCAGTGAACTTGTTCTCTAACAAGCACCCACATAAATGTACTTACGTCTTACGCTAATGTTGATGGAATGCAACATTCTTGTCCAACAAGCATACAAACTATGTGCAAGTCTTTTATGGATTATTCGATATCCCATCTCGAAACATCCATCGACTTGGAACTGTATTTAAGATCACGGCTTTCAAGGTATGTTCCATGATCACCATCTCTATGCGCAACCATACCTTATAACCATAAGTGATCTAGGGATTTTATCTTAAGTGCAATTATAAGATAAATGCTTTCTCTTAAGATAAAGAAATGCCTTATTCATAATATAATTCCAATAGACTGTATTTACAAGTAGAATACGTCCAATTAGATTGGAACGCCGGGTACCCTACTCTAACAAGGTGTGCCTTCTTGAGTCTCATTCCAGGCTACTTGCACCACATCATCAAGCCCATCCCTTTTAATCCATCTCTTATCAAAATGGAACCTGCTCTTTGGGTTGATAACTGTTGGATCATCTTCAAGAAGAAGGAGGTGGTGGTCAGAAGAGCTTTTGAAATGGGAGGTTGTTTGAGTCCCTGGATAAGATCTGAGCCATTCAAGAGATGCATAAGCTTTGTCCAGAGCTTCTTCAACAAAGCCTTCCTGGTCCCTATTGTTACCCCAAGTGTAAGGGTATCCCTTTCTGAGCACTTCCCCTATTCCCATATTGGCAATGAAAGTCTGGAAACCCAAGAGGCTAGCTGGTGTTCTAGTCCTGCCCCCTTTTTTGTCCTCCACATTTGCCAAATCGTTCCAGTCTCCAATCATGCACCAGTAATCACCCCAATTACTTTTTTTAGCTTCCAGTTCATCCCATTGATTTTCTCTAATTCTTTTGTCAGTGCTGAGGTAGACAAATATTATCCATCTGAATTGATCCTGATGATGTAGTCTGAATTCAACCTCGAAGTGGAAGCTGTCACATATGATTTGATTAATTTCCACATCTCTGCTCCAGGCCAGAAGTAACCCTCCACTCAGCCTCCTTGGTTCAACAGTTTTGTGCCTGTCAGAGAAGCCTAATTTTTTACAAACAGTTAATACAAAAGGATTAGTATTTTTAGTTTCTGATAGGAATATAAAATGTGGGTGATGGGATTTTAGGGAATCCCTCAACTGGGAAACTGTAGAGGCCCCACCCAGGCCTCTACAGTTCCACACCACAGCTTTCATGGTTCACTCCGGGGCCATTCAAGGCTGGCCTTCTCCACCTGGGTTGAATGAGCTTTCAATTTTTTCTGGTCAGATTCTTCTGGCATAGGGTCTTCCTGGACAGCAGACAAGGTTTTGTGAGTGAATCTTCCTCTTTTGGATCCTTGATCCTGGATTTTAGGAACTTCTGTGGTGTTTCTCTGGAGTCTGCCTTCTTTAGCTCCAATTCTTTTCCATGTTCTCTGCTTGGGCCCCTGAGTGTCCATAGGGCTAGTCCATGGAGGTTCTGTTGGGGAGATGAGTTGTTCCTTACTATCCCTTGGAGAGACATTTAGATTTGGGCAGTTGCCTTCATATTGTACTATCTCTTTTCCAGGCTCCTTTGGTTGAGGTTCAGTGGGTTCATTCCTGCCATGATAGCTTTGATTATCTTGTCTGGAGGAACTGGATTCCACTAGGCTAGTTTTCCCATGAGATCGAGGTGTATGGTTACCCTGGTTGCCTGCTATGTCTGAGAGAAGTCTTAAGCTGTCTGAGCCCTTATTTGATGGGGGGTCTTGCTCCTTGTTAGTGTCAGAAGGTGGATCTGGGTTTCTGTCAGATGATCTGCTATGTGGGCTTGAGGTTGTACCAGTTCTTGAATCTCCTGCCTTTAGCCATTCTCCATACTGTCCCTGTTTGGTGTCTCCAGAGGCAATGTCCTGGATTTTCTTCTGGCATTCCCTGTCTAGGTGACCAAATTTTAGTGAGATAATATATTAATTATTTTACAAGCTAGCTGTTGTAGCAAATTATTTTTATTTTACCGAGCACCGAATCAAATGATTCGTTTCCCTGGTCGATCTCTCGAGGAAGACGATTCGGAATTTAGAAATGATATTGATAACACATAAAAGGAAAATAAATCCTAAACATTCTAATCAAAAGATTGATTTTTGATTATTAACTAAGAAATAACAAGAAATATAAATCTATCTAAAAATATAAACGATAAAAAGATAAACGAGCTAGGATATCGGGAATAATCGCTTTCGGTTCTACACACATTTAACGGCAATCAATAACTCGGTTAAAAGGCTCGACTCATTAACTCATTTAGCGGTTTAACCTCAATACGTCTCCGAACATGCTGATAAACATAAATGAGTGAATTAACGAAACATTTAATACATAGACAATACGTCTCCGAACATGTCTACACTAAACGAGCCAAATTCCACCAATTTCTCCCCTCTCAGTTTTGAAATCGATTATAACGACTCCTCCTCTTTCGGTTCTAAAAGTCGCAATTCGTAGAATTAACAAACTCTAACTCAACAAATAAATATTCAATCACGAATCAAAGTGCCACTCTTTGATTATATCAACAAATTAACCTAAGTGTCACTCTTATGTTATAACAATTTATCAAGTATAATTTTATCAATTCATAATTAAAACAACTCGTCAAGATTGAGCTATCGTCATGCACGTAAACGAGAACAAACCGGAATGATTATCCCTTAACCCTAGCTAGAGGATTAGCTACTCATAATTTTATCATGCATATCCACATTTAAGGAAGTCATTCTTAACATAAACAAGATGAAAAGATACCTTCCTATTAATGAGAAGTCCAAGAGCAAATGCAACTTAGTCCAAAGTACACTCCAATGTCTTCAACAATCCAACAAAACAAATACAACAAATACAACACTTAAGAAAGAAAAATGGAAGGAAGGTGAAGAAGGGGGAAGAACCCCCCCTTGGTTCAATGCATGAAGAGTTATTTTTGGTGATGATGATGATCCCTTTTGTAGAAGAAATGGAAGACCATGAGTAGTGGACTCTTTTCCCACACCACAACCAGGTTTTTAGGTGAAAAATTCGGTCCCAAGCTCCCCATAATCAAGCACCATCCAAACATGCCAAAATTTAAGGAAAAGAAGGAGTTTTTGTCTGCCAACAGGTGCTAGCGCCGCTAGGGGGGTGCTAGCGGCGCTAGGGTAGCTCCGCGGCCGCGACTTTCGCGCGTAGAAAAATCCTCGCGGACTGCAGTGCGCGGCTTCACGTTTTGGGCTCGTTTGAGCTCGTTCGAACTCGGAATTGAGTTCCGTTTTTTCCTATATGTAGCCAACGAACCCTTATATTCAATGATGCTTGCATAACCAAATTATTCTTGAAATCCTATCCTCCAAAAGCTTGTGACCAGCACACCAAAGACGTGTTTCGCACGACTTCGCATTTTTGGCTCGTTCGGATTCTTTCGAACTCGAAATTGGATTCCGCTTTTTCCTATGTGTAGCTAAGGAACTCATCTATCCAACCATGATTTCCCGACCCGTTTTTGAGCTAAATTGATTCCTCACGGGGCTTCCGACCTGTACACTAAAAACAAGAAGAAAAACGTAAAAAAAGGACAAAATACACGAAAAACACATAAAAAGCCAAAATACACAATAAACCATAAAATAAACTAAAAACTAACAAAAAGACCTAAAACGGGAAAAAAAGAACGACAAAATATTACAAAAAAACGTAACAAAAATGGTCACAACACTAGCCCTAACATGCTCATATCTAATATTCTGAATAAAAAAACAACGCTGGTTAAAAGATGTGGAAAAAAAACTTATAATAACCCTATTGTTTTTTAGACTTAATGGTGATTAAAAGATGTAGAAAATAGATAATAACTCCTATTTTCAGACTTAAACTAACAAGGGGGTGAATATAACTCATTTAATATCTCTGTCCCGTACATCGCACGGGGTACGTACTAGTCTACACAGATGGACTAACCTTTCTTAAATATTTTCTCTTTTTATAATATAGGCCTGATTGGATATAAGTTTTGAATTTGATGGATAAAGTGAACTAATTTTTGAAGAGAGTTGATTGAGTTTTTAATCGAGTGGGATTTTTTACTTCGGATTTAAATAGTATTTATAATGTAATAATTAAATTTGATTTATTTAAAAGTAAGAGATAAATGATTGGAATTAATGAAAAATTAAATTATATGAATGAGTGAATAATTATTTAAGGTTGATATAATGTGTGACAATCATCGATTAATATTATTAATTATATCATATGAGAATTGTGTTAGATTAAATTTAAGTTAAATATCATATGAGAGTTGTGTTAGATTAAATTTAAGTTAAATATTGAGATAAAAAAATTATCCGTTCAATTATAACCGGATAAATTTATATCCAATAAGGCCAATAATATATTACGCTAATGATTACTCTTGAATAATAGAACGAACATAAATATTTTCTCTTGTATCTAATGTGGTTAGGATATTAAGGTCCTCGTTGGTTACATATTATCTGTCAACTTTTGACCTTATATTTTTTTTGTAACCCAAAATCTAACTCAATCAATCTTACTCAATATTATAAATATAATGATTTTTTTCTGGAATCATAAAACAAACATCTTTTTTAGTTTTATAAATTCTTTTCAAATTCTTAGTAAGAATTTGAGTATTTTGATCCCTAATGATCGAGTATGGAATTCTGTTTACTCACTTTAAATTGAGTATCCGTTTCCTGCTAGGATTGGAAATCCTGTATTTTACATATCCATACAATTGAGATTGAGCCCTTGGGTTTCCGAAATAGTGTAAAAAGAAGTGCTTCGAATCATTGCTATTTGACTTGGACATGTTCTAAAAAAGTCGAGGTATTTCGAATTTTTTCCGATCAGTCTTCTTTATATATCGCACCAGCTTTAATCCACTATTCATCCACTTATATAATTTTAAGATACAATTCCTTTTACACCTCAATATATAAATACATTTTCTTTTACACACTGTCCCATAAAAATGCCTATTTTGCACCCCACAACTCACGAAATTATATGCGATATAAAAATCGCATATCAAAATGAACCACATAATTAACAATAAAATTTTCTTGTATATATACCAACATATATCCAAATCGAACGCATATTAATAAGTATGTGAAATACTTTTCCATATTATGCAATCGTGCACGTATCCAAATCTACCATATAATTTATCATATACGAGAAAGTTTCGTATATTAAAATCAAACGTCGCATATTTTTTATTGTTTGTATACTGAAAGCACTGCTTCATTTGAACATTATTTTCGTTTTGAATAAAAGAATCATGTTTAGTTAATATTTGTGCAATTTACTTCATGTATGAATCTGCCTTTTGTCTGGTTATTCACATTGAAGATAATATGGTATGGCATCGTCGCACAGGAGATTTTATTATCAGTTCCTCGTACAATATGAATAAGGTTCATAACTGAGATAGCGAGTGATAAACCTATCGGTTATTGGTGTATATACTGAAAGCTTAGCTTTAGATGTATTTACACTGAATCCGTTTGAATGAAATCATGTTTAATTAAACAAGTCTATGTTCTGTTGTTTTGCACTTAGATAAAATGGTTCATTATCGGGTGATCAGAAGATCATTTTATCAGTTACTTGAAAAACAAGAATAGTAGGTTTACAACCTAGATGGAAATGAACAACCCATCGGAATGGTTATAGTGTTAACCGTACAGTTGGTCTTGACTGATTAGTTACACTAGTACACTTTGTGTATTGAACGGATCCCAGAGAGGAGGAGTTCGTTTTATACTGATCGTCGTAAACGAACTAGGCCTCAGTTAATTACTGCGTTTCTTATCCCGTAAGATATAAACAAGCATGTGCATGCAGTAAATATTACTTTGATTTACTTGGGTGAGATTTAGTTTACTGGATCAATATCCTTACTGTTTTTGTAATATTATTGTATGTACGATGTGCTGTTAGAATATTTACTGTCACCGTGTGCGATAGTTTGATGATGTCCCCAAGATGAGCTCATGAAGGATTGTGATGGGTCTACTTCCAGATCTAGAGTAAACCGGTGGATTTGAGCTCAGATCTGCTTGAACCGCTTCTGAGTCGTTGCTAGACCGCGAGATACCTGCAAAAACTCAACGCCGGAGGTGTTTCCAGAGTAGAGCCTCCGACGCTCAAGTCAGTATGAGAGAGATGTAGTGAGGCTGCGCAGCAGCTATGGGGGAGTGTGGAGAATGAATGAAAGTTAGGGTTTGGGGTTACCTCACCTCCTTTATATAGAACTGAATACTTACCTGAAGTACCCAGAATGCCAGGTCGGTGGACCTAAAAGGTCCAAAATGCCCCGATCGATTCGTCTCCCCTCCCTGCTGAGTCATCTCAAGATTCCTTCTTATTCTTTGGAAAATGTAGAGCTTTGAGTATGTTGCAAGTGTGATGAGCCATCATCACATCTTTGGTCTTTGAGATATATAGAGTCGACCTCGAGAGCTAGGAGGTCGACTTGTGATCATATGAGGACTCGGAGGTTACGCTTAGTTAGTTCCCTCGGGTAGAAGTCGTCTTCAGAGAATCATCTTAGTGAAGTCGACTACTGGGAGTCGACTTAGAGTATCTGGATGCTCGAAAGTTATGTTTTTGTTGTTCTTCTTATACAGATGTCGACTAATAGAAGTCGGCAGACTGAGGTCGACTTGTGAGAGTCGACCGACTAGATTTCTGTCCTTTTTTGGTCGCTCTTTGTAGAGTCGGCTTTATGGAAGTCGATTGGAGCATGTCGACGGAGTCATATCAACATGCGAGTGGTTCGAGCGGTTCACCGGTCGAGTAAGGAGCCTCTGGACTGGGTTATCCTTATGTGGCTATATCATCTAGTCCCCCCAAAAATTACTCTAAGCAGTCGACTGCTTAAGAGTGAATTTGGTGACAAGTGGTTGAGTGTCATGCCTTCCCGCAATATATGCCTGTATCTGTTATTTCGTTGACTCGTCTTGTCAATCGATTACAAAACACCTCAGCCCCTTATGATTGCCTTTTCGGATAAGTCTGACATTCTGACACCTCTTTCGAATTTTGAATTTCAGAAATTCTGAAGTGGCGCGCGTCATCTCAACCGCCGACCCTTCGAACTTCGTGCTTCATCCGGATCGTTGGTTTTCTTGCGGATCCAACAATCGACATCAATTATCCCCGCCTATAAATACGCCTCCTTTACTCAGAAGGTCACTTTTCGCATTCTCGAACTTCTTGCCCTCTCAAACCCCTCAAAGCTCTCCGGCGATCTTTGTGTTTTCGATTTCATCGGC